GTCCCTTCCAACCCAAACTATTCTATGACTAACATTTCTGAAACAGTTTTCAATTTAGAGCTGTTTGTAAATGTGTGACACCAGTCTACGTAAGATTTCCATTTTAAGAAAAGCAGATAGATCTATAAGGAACCCAAGTACCTGAAATAGCTTTAAAATAATTCATGGAGCTTCCTTGCATCATTATACTACAGTGAAAATAAGTGCAAGGTGGGGTTTTTTTGTAAAGCATAAAGTTGTCAGGCAAGTAAAGTTTCCTAAAGAGTGGTGATATTATCTGCATCACTTTCTATAGTTTTAAGTTTGTCAGAGGAGCTACAACCGAAGAATTGCATGTATTCATTATGAATACATTTTTGAGTATATGTCAAACTCCAGGCTTCATATAAAACTTTTTATGGTAGTGCTTGAAGACTGAAACACTATTACTAAAATGAGCATTAGGATTGATAGCAAAGTAACAAAAATGAAATTTTGTTCAATGTTCAACACAATGTTGAAGCAGATAAACCGAAACAGCAGCTCAGAGGTTTTAGTGAAAGATGGTTGAGGCACACTATCTGACAGGGTACCTACAGACAGAAGTGCTGCTTAATCAGTTACCATGTCAGTTGCTGCACAGGAGGAAGTGATTTATCTTTTTCTTATTGTGCAGAAAGTTCTCTTATAATTAGCCAAATAGTCCTTTTTCAGTTCATTTGAACTTTTTGGTTTTTCCTTCTTCCTCCTTGCCTGCTCCTCTCTGAGCACTTGCCCAGTTTCCTAGTCCAGATGATTCTTCTTCAGGCCTCAGCATCCTCTAGTAGGTCAAGACATCTCATAAACTTCATATATGAGCTAACATGTTTGAGGGAAAGGGGCAGATATCAACATCATCCTCCCGTTGACATGTACCTTGACACAGACTTCCCAGCATAAACACTGCATTTAATCCACATGCCAGCACAGGGGTAAGACAGGCACGGTGCAGAAGGTAAGAGGCAAGGCTGCCCGGGATACCGGCTCACAGCAAGGGGCACACACAGGGAGCCGGGCTGTCGCACCACTTGGATCCACCACTGACGGCAGCATCTTGCAGGTGTGTGAATCTGTACATGAGGCAGACTGACCACCCAGTGGTCCTTCCCTTCCCATATCAATCAGTCTGTATAATAAAACACTGATCCTTTTTTTTTTTTCCCCCCTAAATTTTAAGTGAAGGCTGTGATAGAGTAAGTGGGAAGTTTTATGCATTTTCATTTGTATAACTGAAATCCAGAGCTACTGGCTGACAGCAAAAGCTTGTTAATTCTTTGCACGTACGCAAAATGAAAAGGAGACGTTGTTTACCTTATTATCACGTCATATGAGTCAATTTTCTCCCCTAATGTCTTATTTCGAAGCACTCCTCCATTACCGACCACAACACACCGGCGACAGGCAGTGCTGTGGAACAAACAGAACTTTAATATGCACGACTTCCCTTGAGTCACATTGTTATTAATGATAACTTGCATTTAGTTGATTTATTTATTAACCGAGGTCCATTATCTTTTAGGCTCCTTGTCTCCTAGAAAGCAGTCTCAATCTTGTATCACGCTCTAAGGTTGCTTTTGAAAAAAATGCAGCTGCATTATTTCAGGGACTGCTAGAGTCAGGAAATGGCTTCTCTCACATTAAACTGTATTTATACATGTCCTTTTTCTAGTGGTTTGCTGTTTAAGATCATCTATATGGGTGCCATTAGATAAATTATTTTCCACCATGCTTTGAATTTGTCCTAGTCTGGGTATATGAACCAGGATAGAGTATGTCTGGAAAAACTAATTCAAATTAAGGTGCTTCTACAATATTTTACAATTCCACAACTACAGAGATCTCCAACATGAGCTACAGTGACAAATTTATGTTCACATAAATTTCACCTTACAGGCATCCAAACTGTACGTGCGAAAAACCTTAGCCCGATCACACATGTGATGGCTCTTCATGTTAATATAATTATGTTGATTTTTCTCCCTCTATTTAGAAAGCGCTGCCTAAACATGTTTAAACATGTACTGAGAAGTGCACGTTGTCACGAGTGATATGATTAAAAATTGCATTCTCATATGACTAGATTCAAATTAGACAGCATTACTAAGTACATAAAACACATAAATTTTATAATACATCCAATCAAAATAGTAATTCCTTTCAAATTTAGATTATATTCACAGTTAAAAAGCACCCAAGAAGGTATTATGCAAACACTAAACTTAAAGTAAATTGTAATGGTAAAATTTTCCAAGGTGTTGTCCCAGATTTTCTAATTTTATCTTCTGCTCTCTATTGTCTTATTTCAGTGCTAGTAAAATGTGTGCTTTGCAAAGAAAAAAAAAAAGCACAGACAGGCTTGGGTGTTGTTTTACTTCAGAAATTTTGCCTCTTTAGGGAAGGTTTAGATATCCAATGCATAAGACTGCAAATTCCTCCTTACAGAACAAGTGCATCATTTTTTGTTGCAAAATGCTTCTTTATTTAGGGCAAAAGCTGTTCTTCAACTTGGTTGCAGCGGGAACAATGGCAAAATTAAAATGTAGGTATTCTCTTCAGACACAAACACGCTCACAGCTTACTGAGAATGAGCCACCTCCCAACACCCCACTCTCACAGTTCTTCAAGGAAAAGTCTCTTGGCATTTCTTACTGCCAGGAACCCTGGGACTCAGTCACAAAGAATATTGCAATCTGTATTAAATGCCCATTGTGACACTAATCAACATCTTTCTCCTCATAGTCCAACCTGTTTTTTCAGCTGAGGGGAATATTATTCAACATCAATGAAAACATCCTGTTCTAGCCCAGACTGATCGGCAGCTTAATGCACAAAGCAGTTCCTTGTATTTCCTACAGGATTGTTAACGCACTTATGCTGTACTGCATGTGGGGTAGGGAAAAGAAACTGGGCCCCAAAGCAATGCTAAAAACCTGAAGTTTACAGAAAAGGTGAAACATGAATACATCCCAACTGTAAAAAGCACTGTATTTCAAAAGAAATGCTGGGATGGCACCTTCTCACCTGCTGCTCTAGGGCCACATCTGCAGAGGGAGTTGCCTTTACATTTTTTTTTATATATATAAAAATAGTCCTGCTAAATGGAGCTCTCAGGATGGGGTGACATGGAAAAAGCTGGCACACCTTTCTCTAATGTTTCCTGAGCAGCTTAGTAGAAGCCAAGCATTCATAAAAAGATTTCCAGCTAATGCCACAAGCCCACGTGACTCGGTACCTCGGAAATCACAGGGGTGAAAACCCATTACACCCTTCTGTCCTCAGTATGCCCATTCTCTCTACACCCACGAAACCCTTCCCCATCTACTCCAGGACTGCTTCAAACCCATTCGTTTTCCAATTAGTTTTTCAATACAGTTTTAGGACATCCTGAGAGAGCAGGCTGATGAACATACACCTCTTGCAAGGTTTACAGTAGGAAGAAGGGAGCAGAAGTTACCCTCTTCCTGAATTACACTTTATTACCTACAGCTGTATCATAGAGCTCAAAGCAAGATCCTGGGCTACAGAGAAGCAACAGTGAGGAGAAACAGGAAGGAAAGAGGAAAACTGGACAAAAGCCACGATCATCGGGAATGAGAGAGGGGAAAAAAGCACAGCAGTAGCATATGGTTGTATCACTTTTGCCTGTCATTTACAGCATGCCTCCATAAACCACTGAAAGTTTCAATCACCTCAAATCTCTAAATTCAGTGTCATCAAAAGTTATGTGGCTGCAGCTGGGTAATTGAGGTACAAACCTCATCACCACAATGCAAATCACCTAAACTGCTACTCATACTCCAACTCCTGGTCGTACCTCCTGGCTAGAGGAGCATCCATCCCCAACGTTTGGTGGACACCTTGGTTTGGCATGAACTCATCTTCAGGTCTCAATAAAAAGCCAATAATCTTCCTAAATATTTTCTTTTATACTCTCCGACTACTTGGTGTGAATTCATAAAAATGATGTCAACTCCATTACAAGTGATTTGTATTATTCTGACCATGATAAGCAGCCAAAAAGTTACTTTGAAGAAGCACTGCTTGTTCTTGTAGATGAACTTTAAGTGATTCCTTATTACATACCTTCCAATTTTTGGCAGAGGCTATGATTTAAGAAACTTCACTATGTTAATCTCTAGCTATTGAAATAATGCCTTCCACTCTGGTATAAAAATGAAAAACTCTTTAGTTTCTCCTCTCTACACTGTGCAGTTGTGATGTAGCAGGACACACTCAGGGCAGGGAGGGTAAAAGAAAACGTGACGTTAGAGCTGGGCAATCGAAGCTCCTGCAGCTACAGAAGCTGGATAGCTGCTATTAAGTCAAATCCAAAGTCTCTTCCCTCTTACTGACGGATGCAGACCAGATCTTGTTCATGGCTAAGAGCTGACTAATACTACTTGGATGGAAAACAGAGTGAAATTTGAAGTTTGATTAAGCTTTCAAACTCCAGTGCCCTTAATAACATGCATACTCAAAAATAAAGATATCAGCTGCCTTCAAATAACCAATAAAGCATCTAACAGTGGTATGATGAACCTTTGAAATGGATAAAGTCAACAAGCAGATCAAACGCTCCTGATTATTTGTACATGAATAGTCATGTGAATTAGAAAGACCAGCTTTTAATCTCTGTCAAGCTCAGGAAGCCAAAGCGGGCCAACTCAAACAGGAAGTCTGGCATGAATGTGCTATTTCTGAATTGTCTCCCTCCCTTAGCCCCCCACCCCATAGTATTCAAGTGTGTCCAGTTACGATCATAGGTCTACGCCCACAGTAGCACAGATTCCACTGACAACAATAAGCAGGGAGAGAAATGGCTTATGCTAGAGCAAAAAACCAGAACATAGTATCATAGGAAACCAACATATGAAATGGAGATAAAGAATATGTAGCAAGGCTGGTATGTATTCAAAGATATTTAAAGTTAAATAAACTGACCTGTACTTACTGTAGATTACAAATCAATACATTGATTTTCAGCAGACTGTTACTCCCAGACATTTTACCAATCCCACTTCTTAAAATTTTCTTTTTCATAATATTTTCATATTTAAAAAACCCCCACTCACCCCAAAGAGTAAGTCAGCCTCTCCCCAAGTCAACACATTGGCAAGAAGAGAAATAAATTCAGATGTCCTTACAAACAACATCAAGTGTGCTACAAATGAAATATAACTGACTGAAACATCTGGAGGTCCAGCTTACAACCACCAGCACAACATTGATGAAAGTGAAAAATATTAAAACCTCAGCTATAACAATTGCTATAGCAATGGTTTGAGTTACTAAGGGATTGCATTTAGGTGTCAGAGATCTACCCAGAGTATAAACGGATCCTGATCCAAATCACATGGTAACTGATCTCCAAACATTGCCCTATTCACGTGGTGTACAAGAGCCTCTTGATCTCAAGGCCAGGCATTAGTTTACATATTTTGTTTATATGGTGAAATTCTAAAAGAAACATTTTCCTAGTCTATAAAAGAAAAATATTGTTAGATGGAAATGTAGCCTTCAAAGGTCAAAAGGCTTGCATCCTCCACATTCCACTGAAATACTGTTTCTCTGGAAAAGGAAAAAGAAGATCTCAATCTCAACTCCTTTAACACACACCCCCGCAGTCAGTTGAAGAATGCAAATTATTTCCTTTGAGGTTATTTGCTAAAAGGAGGATGCAAAGGTCAATATATTAAGTCAGAATTGTGTAAATGCATTTGTAAGAATTTACTGCTGTTGAGCTTAGAGTCCTGAGAATACTCAGCGAGTAATTACAAGGAAATGGATAGAGCGGGTCTTCAGAGGTTACTCTGTGGATATACCCTAGCCTGGAAAACCATTCTCCTCCAGGCTATTCCACTGAAGTGCACAACACTGTTCACTTTCAAAGAGTTTTGGAGAACTAGACTTTTACACAGTGAGAATTCCACTTACTTTTGGAAAATGGCAATGTTAGGAAAAAAATCCTTTGTAGCTCACTATGTACAGCTTTATGTAAGTTGCACACAAATGCAGCTATATGAGCACCATACATCTGGTGCTCATATAGCCTAATATTTGTTAAAATACTTTATAGCAGGTTCCCTTACTCTGGTCCAAGGAAAGTTTATAGG